ACAGTGGCAAGGAGCATAACTTTCGTTTTGTAACAGAAACCACTCAGTATTACTGATAAATGAAATTCAATTAATGTTTATTACACGCTCAACTAATGTTTAATGAACATTCATACAAGAAGTGCTTGTACGTCCTTTATCATGTTCTGACTCTCCTATCTATCCTTAGTGTGAGTTTTCTCTTGCCAGCTGGTACCAGGATGGAAGCAGTAAAACCAAAAGCAGGACTGGTCTTGAACAGATGCCAAGAAAGGACAATGCCAACAGATTTCCAAAATGCAACCCATCCAGTGACTAAGAAATCAAGGCTAACCAAGATGGCCACAAATCTGAACAGTGGGCCTTTAAGAGAAGGAACCACGGGTATAATTAAGATCAAAATGTAATCAAAATCTTAATCTTTTGATTAACAGGAGAAACAAGAGAGGTGTGCAGTTATTCCTTAAAAATTAGCATGACCCACACATTACTGGTGTGTAACCTCTCTGAAGGCCCCACGCTATATCCCCACGGGTGTGTCTCCATACTTTTCTGAAGCTGGTTATCTGACTAACAAGTTTAAAAGATAAATCTTATCCATCTGATTTAAAGCTGAGGGAACTTAAATTCAGAGAAGTTAACTGACTTGCCTAAGGACTCATGTGATAAAGGATGGAATGGAGGTTCAAGCCTGCCTCTCTGCGCCAGACAGCCTTTCTTCTGCTATTCCATGTGGTCCTCACTGTATCTGCTGCTAGGCTTTCTGATTCTGTGTGACAGGGTTTCTATTCTTTACTTCTCCTTCTATTTATTTCTACTGTGTTGCTTCTCAGAAGACTGATCCAATCTTTTTCCATTTAAGACTCTCAAAGTCAAAGTTCTACCTTCAATTCTCTGTCCCTGCCTTTAGAATAGCAATAGGTGTCACTGAAGAATTAGGCTATGTTCTTCAGAGGGATACAAAAATAAATAAAACACACATCTGACACTTGGGAGCCTGCAGTCTGTCAGAAGGATGGACCTTTCCAATAATCTTGAAATAATGTGGTAAGTAAGGTAATAGACATCTGTAAGGGTATGCATAAGAATTTACAGGAGAAATGGCAGCTAATGCCCAGAAAGACTTACTTGAAATTCCCACAAAATCTTAAAAGGCTTTCTAAGTTTTACTGGGAGCCTGAAGAACATCAGTTAACCATGACTACCTATACTGTATAATAAACACTCATGAAGATATAAACTGGGAAGCTGACTATTTCTGGATTCTTAATATGTATCATTGTTTCAGTATGACCTTATCCCCACACAGTGAACACGAGTAGAGTCAGCATTTGATCCTAATTATTCATACATCATTCTGCCTCTGTCCTCCTTCACAGCTCCCACTTTTGAAAAAGGAAGGGCACCGCTCCACAAAACAGCAAAGGGGTGAAGAGAGAGTGTCAGAAACTGTAATCCAAAATGGTGACTGCTGAGAAGGACACAATATACTTGCAAGAAATACATGCTCACAGAAAAAGCAGCACCAAACCTGAGGTCAGTGGGCACTCAGTTTTAATCATCTGGGCAGGAGGGAAATTAGTCTTTTCTCTCCAAAAGGAGGCCATAAGTGTAGTCTTTATTCCCAGCTGCATTCCCTGGAGAACAAGATGTTCTTAGTTTAAGTGGAACCTAGGGCTGTAGACTTTGGCAGAATTAATAAATATGACTTTATGAAAGAGAAAGGAAGGAAGAAAGGAAGGAACGGAGGGAAAAATACCAGAGAGGGTAACACATGTGACCTGACAGTATCAGAGTGTTCACGGATGGAGCAAACACTCACTTCAATTATCGCCCCACAAAATGAAGATGCCCCTGACGGCTCTCTTTCTCTTGCCATGTTGGGAAAAGAGTACACATTATTGGACAACCATTTGGCAGGATAAGGGTTTGTTTTCTGCACAGTTATCCTAGACCATTTGAATACTTGTCTATAATTTTAATGAGCACAGGTCTGGGAGGAGGAAGAACAATCAGGAAACCAACGCAGTAGCCCAGGTAGGAAATGCTGAGGCCCCCAAGAAGGGACACAATGGTAGGAATGAGGAGAGCTACTCATGGAATGATCTGGTGACTGACTGGCCTGGTGACTGACTGGACCTGGCAACTGTCTCCACGTGCTCTGTGAATTATGGATCTCAGGGGGCTTCCATGGAAATGGCCTGTTTCCCCTTTCTTCTCTTGTTCTTTCCCTTTTCCCATCCTCAGGGTTTGCACCTACTCACCCTGAGGCCACACTAGCAGTTTTGCCTCCCGCTTTCTGCTTTCCTCACCCAGTAAGCATTTACAAAGTGCCTAACAGTTCACCAGGAATGCCACTACTTTATACCCATCAGCTATGGACCAGACATGGCATGGTGCTTAAACACTTCATGTACATCACGTTAATTCCTTGACACACTCCTTAGAAGAGCTTTGTCACCCCCGGTACAGATTAAGACACGAAGGCTCATACCACACAGCTGGCCTCGGATTTGAATTTACATTTGTGTGACTCCAAAACCTTTCCACCAACCAAGTTACCATTCCCTGCCCATATGCAATTTACAAAATAAATAGACAGTATGAGGAGGGGCAGGTCAGGAAAAATAGAAGGAGTATCAGGTTAAGTTTTGAGAAACAAACAGAAACATAGAATTTAATGTATGAACAAGTTTTGATTGCAAACCTGTAGTATGCACATATTCTTGCTGAGACAAGGTGAACGTAGGTGACAATGAGAAGGTGGTATTATTTACGTAAGATGTGGTAGAGAACATCTTAGAGCTGTCTCTTAAAGAATGCAAGAGCCATAGAATGATGGAGAATTGAAGGTGAAAACTTGGTGGCAAAAGGGGTAGGACACAAAAGAGCAGATGGGACAGGAAGTGGGACACGGATGGGGGATAGCGAGGTGATGGATTCACTGTTTTGAGCTCACTGAGAGACATGAAAAATGAGGTACTTCACTTTTACAAGGCTGGATGTCTCACGGGGACATCTTAGAGTTATATTCAGTACTGGAAAGCAAAAAAAAGAAAACTCCTTTTAGATACTGGGGAACAAATGTCTAATTTGAGCTCAGATTTCTGTGCAGCACTTTTAAAACTTCCTCTCATCCACCGAGCCCTCTTTGGTTTATCTTGCCTCTGGGTCTGTTTTCCCTCCGTCTGTCTTTGACACTCTTCAGTTGTCCCTAATATATTTAGCTGACTTTTTCCAGTAAAGAATTAGGTGTCTGCCAAGTGGCCAGTTCCAGCTTCTCTTGTCCTTTCTTTCTCCAGTTCACCCCCTCTCTGCATTTCTTACTACTTATATCTTCAGAGTTGCTTCTCCTTCTCCTCCCCTGTCTGATTCCTTTCCTTTCTGGTGAGTATTGATGCTCTTTTTTTTTTTTTTTCCTGCTTCTTCCTTCCATCCCATGGGCCACACCTTGAGAACCACTGGAGCAGGGGTACCAACAGCCATCAGGTCAAGACTCAGCTGCACATAGCAGCGGTTGGGCAGGGGAGTCAGAGGAGGGAGTAAAGTTTTTCCTTGTCACACCAACAAGTGCTAGGAAGGATAGAAGACTAGGAAGCTCTGGTTTAGGGATCCAGAGGACATGCTGGGGGTTCAGTGAGGAGGGGAGGACACATGGGGAAAGCTCTGTGTTGTAACCTTCTGGGAAACACGGAAGCCAGCTCCAAGCCCTGTCACCCACCCTTCCTTGCCATCACGCATAGAAGCAGCAGAAAGGAATTCTCAGGATTCCTTTGATCTCTTCCCAGTTCTGAGTCCTCTGTCTGTTTATCTCCCTCCTTCCCTGGCCTCCTCTTCCCTCTTTTTACCCCCTGCCCAGTGGATGAGTCACTGCCCCTCCTCCCCACCCTACTGCCATCTGTTTTTCTAATGATGGCAGAAGATGAGCTGTTTTGTTGGCCCACGCTGTAACGAAGCATACTCCATGCTAGCATTTTTCCTGGTGGACTCTCAGAACGCTATTTTATTGGTGTCATTTCCCCCACCCAGTTTTCTCTTTGTCTCAGTCCCCACCCTTTCCCCTTCTTTGGCCTCATGTAGATCCCAGTTTCCCAGAATTAGATAAAGAGAAACAGGGGTACAGAAGAGCCCAGGGACTGACAAGCATGTGGGTTGGGTGTGTGCTGGGGGAGGGTGCTGGAAATCAGTAGCGGTGCAACAACTCTTGCTAGCACACAGGGAGCAGCCAGAATTACCCAAGTGTCACCGCTAAGTGGCTTAATTACTTGCAGTGAGAGATTTGGATGGCAAAACGTATTGTGACTGAGGGGCCATCCCCAGGGTGAGACGGTTTCAATCTTTTGTGTGTGTGTGTGTGAGAGAGAGAGGTGCCCCTCCCGCCGCCCATGTCAGGATTCCTGGGTCAGTCTCCCTCAGTAAGGCTCTGCCTCATTCTTGACTCTTCTTCACAATAACTCCTGCTAATCTAGCTAAGGAATTCACAGCATGCTAAATCCCCTACTAGAAGGGACTCCCCTGTGTGAAGAAGTACGTAGGATTCCCTGAGGAAGTAAAGGTCTGGTTTGAGTTAATCAACAGTGGATTATGGGTCTACCTCAGAGGTTGAGAACCTAGATGCCTGCATGACCCAGGCAGTTGATGTTAACGAGGGATGTGCACTAGGTAAGAAGCCACAGGGAGAGGGGGGCATCTTGCTGACCCAGAGAGCAGCTGTCCTTCTGGGGCTGTGGCTGTTACTCAAAGCCAGCTAATCGTTGCCATGTTTGCCAGATAGTCATGTTTTTCAAGAGACAAATCTGCACAAAGTGTTTCATATTGAGGAGGAGGAGGAAGAAGCGGAGGAGGAGAAGATGAAGAGAAAAAGAAATCCTAATATCTGTAATTTGGGGATTGGAGAGCTAAATATAAGAGATTAAACAAAGGGCACAGGAGCAAGATCTTGAATTAGAAAGACTCAACTCCCTGTGAGTTAAGCAGACTAGAGAACTCTAGTCTGGGTTTGGGAGGGGGAAGCAGCTTACCTCACACGACTGAATGCAGTGGACCAGGACCGGGTCTGGGTGCCATTGGCGCCGCCCAGTGCATACGATGCTCTGAAGGGGAAGAAGAAAGAACAGAAAACAAAAACAAAGAGCCCTGGTCAGTAAGAGAAGGAGCAAATCCTGAGCTCCCCCTACCAGCCCAACCTCATTCCCTGAGGAGGGAGACCCTGGCTGTGCTCCATCCAGAGGGCCGAGGCCAGTTGGTCTTTCCTGAAGAACTGCTAATCCTGCCAGCTGGTGCCAAGGCGGAACTCTCATCCTCTTCATCCTCCTTCGCCCCCCACTCCTCCAAAGTATCAAAATTTCCAGAGAGGTGTAGGTGTAATTTTAGAAAGCATCCTCAATGTTGTGATGAGTTTAATTTGGTTCTAGGCATAAGATTGTTTCCATTTGTTTTTGAAGTTTTCAATAACATTACAAGAAACTGTGAGCTGTCTGTGTTGACCAGGAAGCACCGTGGATTTTTAAGAGCTGGGAAATATAGCTTCACAAGAGGAGTCTTGAACTAAAAATGGATCTCAAGAATCCGAGATGATAAGATGTGAGTGCCAAGCAAGGACAAGAGGATACATTGCACAATCTGCACTCTTGTTAGCACATTTATTGCTTCCTCGTGGGAAATAAAAGAAGGTCTATGCATTGGACAAATAGGGTTAATGTGACACCACTGGGGCTCGAAATGGCACCCACATCAAACTGGAGAGAGCAAAACCACGTTTGTATTAAACACTGATGACTGTCTCTGTCCCAGTGGCCATTTCCAGATGTGCAATTAAACAAACAGCCATCTACTCTTTGTTGAATGATACTTATCATTGAACTTTTTCCTTTTAATTTTTGTCTTTTAAAATTCCAAAAGATACACTTCAGGAAAAGAGAAAGTCCCACAGGAGGCTTCAGGGAGAAAAGGAGATTCTCTCCATAGCCAGCTATCAACCCAGTCATTTGTAGACTTTCATACGCACATGTAAATTCACTGTGCTAGGAATACAGTGCAATCACAAGAAAAATAATACACAGTCAGATATGAGCTTTACACAAGATAGCACTTCCAGTAATTGGAAATTATACATTCTAGAATGCTAAGACTGTGCAATAATCAGATTGGAGACATTTGCATATATTAATATGTAGGTATATGAATATAAAACTCATAGTTATGAGAATGGGAGTCTGCAAGATTTTCCTGGAGTTGTACTGCTATAAACTAAAACTCCTCTTTTACCACTTCCCTAAAGAGGAGATAAATACCATATATCCTAACAATTTCTGATATTCATAATTCCACATTATAATAGCATAGAAATTGACTCAGTTTTAAAAAGGATTATCAAATCTATACAGAATCCTACAAATATATAAGGTAAACACAATAAGGGTGTTCAGCCTACTAAAAACTGAGGTATTCTGCACTAAAAGCCACTTAAGCAGACCATTTGCATATAAACAATGGCTCTGCTACCTGGAAAGGACTCTTGTTTATGTTTTAAAACCAGTATCAATGGAACTCTATTTAGCTAGCAATGGTCCTGACCTCTATTATTTAAAATATCAACATTTTATGCTTCCTTGTTGTCACCAGATAATGATAAAGCATAAAACAGGAAGTTTTACCCTTGAGATGTAAATACATAGCAATCTTATTCCTTCTTATGGCACCACATTCTCTAAGGATCCCCATTCCCCATCCTTATCAGTCAGACATTCAAATGTATACAGGCTTCAGGCACTATGAGCCAGATTCCCCAGTCAGCAAGAGGGGTCTGAAGATCCACAAATCTAGTTGCTGTCCTTAGAGAGGTCAATTCTACCACACAATAAGGGGATATTTAGCCTTGGCACCCTCACATGATGTCCATGGCCAGAACTCTCCAGAACATTCTAAACTGACTGTACCAGCTTCTCTTATGCCATCTAAACCTTCTATCCCATCCACCTCTTTCATAAATGTAGGAGTGTGGGTTTGTTAACACTTTAGAAATTCTAAGGATATATTGCAAAGGGGGGAAAGAAAGAAAGGAAGAGTCTGCCTTTACTTTCAATTCGGTTTTTTCACTCTTTTGTCCTATCGTCTCCAACTGATGTTTTCTATCTTTGTATATTTATATAATTTTATCACTATGTAATACAAATTCACAGAATATAAAACGTTTAAAGGGTGCACAATCTCCCTCCTATTCCTGACCCCCAACCACCCAAGTTCCTCCATTTGATTTTCTGTATTTGTATCATTGCAGAGATATTCTATGCATATGCATACATATACATATGAAACTATTTCCACATACAAATTATAAGATACCATAATTTTATTTTGTACTTTGGTCTGTTGCTGTTTGCTTGCTTGATTTCACTTCACAGTGTTTTCTCAGGGTTCTGTTCATTTTATGTTATCTGGAGTATTGCATCCTATTGATTGTGTAGTATTTCTTTGCATGTATGAACCCTCATTTACTTAACCAGACCCATACTGATGGATATTTAGGTTATTAACAGTCTTTTGCTCCAACAAACAGTGCTATGCATAAATCATTTCATTCATGGGCAACTATATCTGTAGAATAAATTCATGATAGTAGAATTGAGAATACCCATCTCAATGATTCCTTAATGTTCTGTAATTCAGACATGAGATGAATTCAAACTGGCAACCTTCCTTAATCTCTATAAAATTGCAACAGCTTCTGGTACCTGGGTCATATGCCTTCCTAGATTGCGAAATCCTTGAGAATACAGACTGTCTCCCATTCATATATCTTATCTCAGTGACTTAGAGATGATGTTCTTCAAGCATTTGTCAACCACTAAATATGATGTTGGAGCTCCAGGATTCCTGACTACCTTCTAGCCTGTGAATGTCATTCATCCCATAAGAAAAGATATGCTTATGTCATTAATTGAACTACTACTTATTGATCAAAACTGGAGGAGAATTTCAAATGTGTTTCAGGCCCTAAATTTTGTGGGCTGGTTTGTGATGGTGAGGTGAAAGAGGGGAGTGAAACAGGAAGAAAAGCAATGAGAAGGGCTAGCTACTGGTGAGATTAGTTAAATTAATTCAACAAGGAGGTCATCAGCCTGAGGTGGCTCTGATCCATGGTGGCCTACTTAGGCAACCCAATATCTAAGCCTGTGAATGCTTCCAGGTTACGAAAATGAAAACTATGGACAACCAATCACAAAGAGCCAACTAGGCTTTAAGCTATAGCCAATCAATAGTATCCTTACTTTCCTTCTGTCTTTTGCTCTACCATAGAGTCTCTCCTGAGCTCCTCTTGGTGGAGCACTCCTAACCACTTCTGGTTTGACGCTGCCTGACTTAAAGAGAGTTTTGTTCCAATAGGCTCTTAAAAATTGTAATAAGCCTCAATTTATCTTTTAAGAATTCACTATGATTTTCTTATTTTCTGGAATATTTTTGATAAATTAGGATAGTATATATTACATTTGAAAAGCTATAGGAAATAATTGAAAGAGCCACCTTATATCCTCTGTCCAGCTTTATCAAATCTTAACAATTTGATGTATCTGCTTCCAGAATTTAAGTCACTAGAGATTCAATTAACGTCCCCTATACGTACCCCTCCAACCTCATTCTCCTTCCTTCCTCCCTACTGGTAGGCAACAACTATTCTGAATTTTTAAATCATTATTCCTATACATTTTTATATTATTATAACTATTGGTATCATACTATTAGCAAGCCACTTTGCAGGTGAATTGATTGTGAACAAAGATTTGTTTTGAACTTTCCAAAAGGAAAGCATTCATGAGAAAACCAGTTTAAAGATTTCGTCTTGGTTGGGCTATTTTTAAATTTTTAAAAAGTACAAGGGAAAAAGGGAAGAACAAAAGGAAGGTGGAAGGGGGAAAGAGACAGAGAGAGAGAGAGAAGGAAGGGAGGGAGGAAGGGAGGGCATAAGGGAACTGAAGGCTATTGCTTGGTTAAATGTCTCCCTAAAGGTCACAAGACTGATGGTTAGCCAACACTAAGGTCTAACACAGAATTGCTCAATTGTTTTTTTAATCAGGAATAGTTACTTGACAGAATGGGCTGCTAATCACAACAGACCACAAAGTTCTGCAGCTGCCCAGGTTTGTGACAATTTCCCTATTACTACATATGTATGCAACGCTAAATACAACACAGCATTGTTTTTGCATATTTATTTAGACAGTCGCACATTATCCTGCAGCTTGCTTTTCAGTTCTTCTTCCCCCATCCTCCAAGATGGTCTTGGACTCGATGCCTTGAGACTTATTCAAACCAAAAGCAGACACTTCCATACTTGAAACTGATGAAAAAGAAGGTTTTTTCATGACTCATGTCTGAGGGATTTGTTCTCCCACTGATGTCTGTGTGGCAAGTGTCACTGGAGCTGTTACACAACTGTGCCCATCAAGAGGACACTCTGAAGGATGAGGGTGAGGATGAGGAGATGAGAAAACAGACAGGAGGATGAGACCAGCTAGTCAGACACTATGACTCCTGGGGGGCACTGTCTTCTTTTTCTCTTCCTGCTTCTCTCTTCCTCTTAAAACATTTTGTTTTTGCTTAAGGAATTATTAATCCTTTGGGGACCAATTTGGGAAAACAAAGTCAGAAATTACAAGACTTGTTTTGACTGAGCAATTCTAGTGAAGAACTGGGGCGTCGAGGGAGGGATTCCCTGCAGTGTTGAGCATCTTTACAAACCTCACATGTCGAGCCACAGGAAAATCTCATTAGTTTGGACTTCACTAATTCCTAATTGTGATATACTAAAAAAAGAAAAGAGAAGCATTGTTCGGTCTGTGAAAAATGAAGTTATGAAGCAAACTAATAGAGGAAATGAGATGTTATGATGGATGCTTTTGTACTTCAGAATGGAACACTTTCAAGTATAATTTAGAAAAACTCATTTACATGCAAACAATTGCCACATTATGTATTAAAAAAATCATCTCCCCATGAAATCAGATTCTTGAAGGACCACTTCTTTCCAACATAAGTAAAAATGTTAATTTTCACATTTTAAGTGGTAAATCTCAAAATATAATAAAACACCCTC